CGAGAAAGTCCGACCTCGCATTATTGAACTTCCCACTTTATTTCATCTTTTTTCATGGCATATTTGCAGAGTTGATTATATAATCGTGTTATAATCCACACAAAACTCAACATTAAATTATCCTTAAACTTAGGAGATTTCTCTAACCCCTTGTTGCATAAATTGCATAACAACTGTTCGGCGCTGGAAGAAGGGCCCATCGTTTTTTTTGGAGCAATTTTGGACATGAAACACCACATAAAGCTCAAATCATGTCATCACAGTCAAGCCTCTATGTATATTTATTATGTACACCTCTATGTATATTTATTATGAACTTGTAGCATTTTTCTTTTTAATTTGTTCAGATATTCACAAAAAAGTACTCGCAACTGAAAAGTTGTGCCGAGTCAACTTATGAATTGAACAAAGAACTGCCGAGTCCACTAAAATCTCTCGCCACTAAAAGCTCTCGCCGCAATCACTGAAAAGTTCTCGCCACTAAAAGCTCGAATTCTGGAGAAAAAAACCATGAATGGAATATTTGAAAACAATTTTTTTTTAACTATTCTAAATTATTAGATAATTTACGAGGAATCAAAATAGTATTAGTACTTTGTTGAGAACACAAAATGATATGTGAAGCTCGATGATGGAGACTGGAGGTAAATGAGGGTCGTCGATTAAAAAATGGAAATAAAATATCAGAGGAAAGAGAAATGGTCAATAGATCGGGTCCGCCATTAGAGGGTTGCTAGCAGAACCTGTAAAAATGAATTTTATGAAAAACATAAAACTTTTGCACAACTTTATAATTTTGTTTCGATTCAAATGATTTTGAGGGTACAATACTATATGTCTTCTTTGATTTTTCTCTTCTTGAACTTAGATTTGGATCTTCAAATATGGATTTGGACTTGGATTTTCTTTGGGTTTGATCTTGAAATTCTCTAACACTAATTTGGTGGTCGAATGATTTATTCCCGTATTAAATGTTAGGACTTGACTTGGTTGAAGACGACTTCTTGGATGACTTCTTTCTTTTTATTTCTAGAAGACGGATTGGAACTTGAATAACGTTGACTCAAGGGCTTGAGAGAGTTTTCTTAGATCAAACGCTATGTTGCTTGAACTTCTCGACGAATGTGATTTGAATGTTGTTTGAACGTCATTGATGTTCTTGAATGATTTGAGAGGAATGGATGTCTTCTCCTTACTTCTTGGAGAAAAGTTGTCGCATATTTTTTATTCTTCTTGGCCTTCTTCTCCATTGAGTGTACTTTGGAGACTCAGAGGATTGGTTGTGGGTTGGACGCCAATCTTCAACTTGTATACCCTTGGATATTCGAGAACGCCTTCAAATCTTTAAGAACGTCTTTGGATCTTCAAGAGAGTTTTTGAGTGATCTTGAATTTGAAATTTGATTTATGAGGTTTCTTTTAGTTATGAGGTGTTAATTTATGACTTTGAGGAGAGCCCTATTTATAGGTGTAGGAGAGAGAGTCTTGGAGAAAAAGACTTCAGTTTGATTGGTCCTTTATGATTTGATATAATCTCTTCCATAATCTTAATTATATATCTTATTTGATTTATCAGTTTGACTTGGTGGGCAAGAAATAATAACATTATTAATTATATATCTTACTTATCATGGACTTACGTCTAAAAATAAAGGGTAAATAAATTTTTCCAACCTGTACTGTACGTGCTTTTGGAATTTTCAGCCTAAAGTATTGTTTTTGTAAAATGCAACATGAACTACATATACAATCACTATTTGCATGCTCGACCACATCTTGACCATACACGTGCCCTTTTTTGCGGATGATCGGACGGTCAAAAAGTAGTCGAGCGTGCAAATAATTGTATATATTTTGTTCAGGTAGCGTCTTACAAAAAAAAAAAGAAAACTATTTTAGGTTAAAAATTACAAAAGCACGTATAATACAGGTTGGGAAAAATTATTTACCCAAAAATAAATAAAGATATTAATTAATAAAATATTAAAATTTCGATGTCTACAGAACCTTTTCCATTCTGTGGACCCACCGTGAGTCCACCTCAAAATTTTCTTCTCTCTGATGTTTTTAGCACAAATTCACTGTTGATAGTTCGATCTCTGGTAACTGGGAAAGAGGAATCAATACATCAGCACCATCCATGGATTTTTCTCCTAATTCATCAACGATACAGAGCAGATGAAAATCGTAAGAAATCTAAGGAAAAATTAGTGTCAGACTGAACCGAAATTGGCTACTCGGAGAGAAACTGTTAGCGTAATTGCCGGCGAGGTAGGCAAGGTGGCCGGTAGTGAAAATCTGGCGCCAATCTGTAAAAATATGATTCCGGCGAGCTGTTGACGATCAACGGTAACTAGCCAACGGTCAACGCCAGTCAACTCCCGGCTACCAACGATCAACGACCGATCAATAGAATTAATTGTATTTAACTAATTTTAATATATTAATAATTATTTTTATTATTTAATTAATGTATATTTTTTAAGAAAAATTGGTTTTGTATCAATTTAACAGTTCCATTTTTCGTTAGTGGAAGACTTAGAAAATTCTCAAAACCATTTAAGGTAAATAAGAAATTAATTCTAAGTTGTATATATGGGAAATGTATGGTTGAAGCAACTGAGTTTAAGTAACTCAAATATTATTGGATTTGCAAAACATTCTGTCTTTGACGAGTGTTAGGACAATTCAAACAAGACCTAATCATGCAGTTTGCATGCTTGAACTCTTGAGTGGTTCGTTGGAGACAAGTAGAAAAATCGAAACTCAATTCTGAGTCCGTATGATCTTGTACGAGCCCGCGGAACACGGGCGGGCAGTTGGTCGCGGCCACCGAAGGGTCGTGACCCTTGGTGACCATAAGGTGTCTTTTGACCACAGGATGCATCCGTTCTCGTTCGGGCACGTCCCAAAAGGTGTCTTTTGACACTTAAACCTCTTGGAGATGTTTTTCTACATCTATAAATACCCACTAGCATGCAATCATTCAACACATCAAATTTTCAAGAGCTTATTGCATCCTTTTACAATGTTCATAAATCATCTTGTGCTCATTGTGTTCCTTTATATCTTGAGAGTTCAAACAATAGTAGTGTTCAAACAATGTTCAACTCCCGGCTACCGGCGATCAACAGCCTATCAATAGACACCACAAAAAAATTGTTATATTCCAACGGAAAATCCTACGATAATATATTCCAACGAGAATTCCAACGGATATTCCAATGGTATAGCTTCCGTTGGAATGATTCCAACGCAAATTCCAACGAAAATATTGAGTTGCAATGACTTTTCCAATGGAATTTTAGATGGAATTTGATGATTCCAACGACTATTTTTCCAACGGTTTTTTACCGTAAGAATTTCCGTTGGAATGTGCAATTTCCGTTGGGATTTTTATTTTCACCCCCGTTGGAAAATATACCGTTGGAATCGTCGAAATACAAGGGAAAACTCATTCCAACAGAATATTTTTGTTGGAATTTTCATTGGAATTCCATTAAAATATATTTGTATTGGAACTTTTTGTTGGAATTTCATCATTTTATTGTAGTGAGAGTTAATTATTATTTAACTAAATTTAATATATTAACAATTATTTTTATTATTAAATTAATGTATATTTTAATTGATTAACATGAGTCCTTAATCTAGATAAAATGAGTGGTTAAGATTGAGTCTTAGGTACTCATTTTAAAGAAGGGTCTCATAGGATCCACCCCTATATATGCATATACATGTTAATATATCCATGTCAATTGTGCTCCTATAGGTGGAGGTCAGATACTTAATTTAAAGGGAAGGAACTAGCATTATAGGTGGAGGTCAGATACTTAATTTAAAGGGAATGAACTGGCATTGTAGTACGGATTAGATAGTTGACTCTTGATGAGCCAACTGGCTCAGTTAGTACTTACCAGGTTTCGTAGTATGTGGTACTACCTATTTGCACTAGTGTTTTGACATATACACAATTGTATTTATTGATAAAAATAATAGCCACAGAATGTTTGATAAAATATATTTATTTTTAAAAAAAAATTTAATATAATAATTAATTTACTCAATAGTTACTAACCTAATATAAGGCCCATACTTAATACGAGTGCATGTAAAAAAATTATTATCAAACCATAAAGTAAATATGCACATGTATATTTAATTTAAATATAACAAATATGCGTTATAGATGAACTAAATATGCATTTCGTATGAACTAAATATGCATCATGAATGAACTAAATATGCACATGTATATATTTAATTTAACAAATATGCACTATGGATGAACTAAATATGCATTTCATATTAACTAAATATGTATCATGTATAAATTTAATTTAAAAATAAATATGCCCTATGGATGAACTAAATATACATTTCGTATGAACAAAATATGCATCATGAATATATTGAATTTAAATATAACAAATACATATTATGGATAAACTAAATATGCATTTCATATGAACTAAATATGTATGATGAATGATCTAAATAAGAATTATGCATATATTTAATTGAAATAAACAAATATGCACAAGAAAGAAACTAAATGTGCATTAATTATATAATATAAAAACTCAAGGGCCATATTATAATTCTCCAAACTATAAATAAATTACAGTTTTAACCCAAAGATCTAATTACAATAATTTATAAGTTTCTAAATTGCAAATAGACCCTTAAGGTTTATCAAATTTTCATCAGTAAACCCTTGCCCCAAATCGAATTTATCGAGCTGTTGTCGTCTCCTTCCTCCTCCTCGTCATTGTCTCCTCCATCCCCTGATCGCCGTTGTTTCTAGTGGAACTAGACGATGAAGACCATCGTTTCAGCTTCAAAAAGAAACCTCTGGTCCTGTGTGGCAACCGATTTTTGGAAAAGGAATCTCAAGTCTGATTTCTTAAATTGCCGACGAAAGCATGCGAGTGCGACCCACAAGGTACCTAGTCGATTTGGATTTTTTTTTTAGTTCGAGATCGCGAGGCCGACAGAGGTTTACGAGGGTGATGGAAGGTTGGGGCACTGACGGCGGTGCAACGGATGGCTGTTGAAATCTGGCACATTTGAGGTCGGGCTTGCAATCGGGTGGCTAGTGTGCCCACGAAATCCAGTTGCAGCGGCTGGGGATGACTGGCTGGATGGGCTGGCCGGCGATATCTGAGCATGCCGGCTGGAAAACATGGTTATTGGCTCTGATGACTAGTCAACAACCGTTGAACGCTGGTCAATGCCGGTCAAAGACCGTCGGCCGGCGGTCAACGTTGTTGACCGGATTATTCTAGTATATTTAATTAAATATAATAACAATTATTTTTTATTGTATAATTAATGTGTATTATAAATGATTAATATGAGTCATTGATCTACACAAAATCAATGACTAATATTGAGTCTCTCTAATGGCTTATATTAATTATTTACAATACATTAATTATATAATAAAAAATATTAATTATTATAATAAATAAATTAATTTATTTTTGTTGACTGGTGTTGACCGCCGAGCGACGGCCATTGACCGTAGGGCTACGGTTGTTGACCGGTCAACAACGCCTGGAAGCTCATTTTTCCGACCGGCGTGCTCGTCTTCTTCGGTGACGGACTGCTGCACAGGTCAAAGCTCAGGCGGAGTGACTGAACAAGGCCGAAGACGTCTTCTCCGATGTTTGTCTTCTCCAGCCGACGCTGAGAAATCAACGTTTGTCTTCACTGCCGGTTATGCTGTTTTCAGTTTTTGGGCTAGATTCGACAAATTTTTTGTCGAGTCTATTTTAGTGTTTGGGCCAAAATTTTCGCTAGAGGAGTCGTTCTATTTTCTGCTATTTTTTTTTACGTGAGAAGATGAACAGGCAGAGGCGCGACTGCTATGCGAGAAAGAATATGACCGACGAGTTTTTTTGTGAGTTTTGCGCTGGAATAGATGGTCCGACAATTCAGTTTTCTTCTACATCAAAAATCGTGATGACGTGGCTTGACCTCGTTGGTTGAAGATTTTTGTACGTTATTAGAGCATCTCCAATGCTATAAGTGTGAAAGACCATTATTTTTAACACATGTCAATTAGTGATTGTAATGTTAATCGATATTGGAATAATGTTAAAAGACTAAAAATTTCAATGAAACTAGTATCTCCAATGCATCAATTTGATAAGAAGTTATTTGTATAGGTGGACCAATTAAATAATTCATTGATATAAAAAAAATAAAAAATTAAAACAAATATAAAGTAAATTGATGAGTCATCATGTTTAACATGGTGTTAGATATTAGCATGTGTTAGATATTAGAAAGTGTGCTCAACATTGTCAACATTAAATGACATCCACCTCATCATGAAAGAGTTCATGACAAGATGCATTGGAGAAAAAAATGGAGACACACTTTCAAAAGTTGATGATATGGATGACTTTTTATAATGTCAAAAGTTGCATTGGAGATGCTCTTAAGAGTGTTGGACTGATATGGAAGACAATTCCAATACGGTTTGGACTGATAATTAATGGCATAATCGGCCAAATATATAATTACCGAATGCGTTGTGTCTAGGGTCATCTCCAACCGAAAACTCCATACTCAAATCCATTTCGCAGTAATTGTCACATTTTGCAGTAATTCATCTCTAACAGAAAACCCTTTTTCAAACTCAAAAAAAATATTCCCCGAATATTCTCTTTCACATCAACTTTACAACATTTCAAAACTATCCCCATATTTTATAACTTTACAAATTAAACCACACTATTAATATTATTTGTAAATTTTTTTATTTTAAAAATATACTAATATATAATAATAAAAAATAAATAAAACAATATTTAACTTGACAATAATTACTAATACTAAATATAATATATACACATACATAAAATGTTGATAAATATTATATTATAGAAGAATTATATTATTTCAATTTATTATAAATGTTTTTATTAAAATGTTGATACTCTATACATATAAAATTTTAATTCCATAAAATTATTTTAGCATCACCCATGTGTCCCTTCCAGTTTCCGCATTCCACATACAAATTTCAATTTTTTTTTTTTTACTTCTTAAACGCTTTGTGTAATTAAAATTAAAAAGAAGGATTGAATTGGAATAATAGAAGTACGACACATTGTTTTTGCAGGAACGCAAATTTGAGTAAAAAATAGGAGAGAGAAACTCAAAACCCATTTTGGGTTTGAGTTTGCAGTACCCTTGGAAAGATTTTTCCCCATTTTTTTTAATTTTGCCGCTTGGTTGGAGACAGTCTAAGTGGCAGTCTCGTGTGCTTCGTAAACTTATTTATCACAAATTTATGTTTCGTATTGACAAATATACAGGTTTGGTTTTAGCTTATTTACCATAAACTAGCTTTCCTTTTTTGCTATGTTACTATATACCAGTCTTAACTTTTCTTATTTAATTCATATAATAATTATCATGAATTAGTATTATTTTTTATATAAAACTTTATAACTTTTGTATTTGTATTTTTGGTTTTATTTATGATATATTATAATAAAAACTTATAAAGTATTCACTATTATTTATGATATTATTGTCAATTCTTTAGAGTTATGCTTGCTCATTCTTTTATATAAAATTTTCATAAACATTAAAATTTTCATAAACATGAAAATTTTATATAAAATTTTCATATAAAATAAGAAAACCCTCGTTCTCCTTCCCCCAATTTCCAAAAGAAAAAGCGCCGCTATTCTCCATTTCGTCGCCTTCCACTTGTCTTCTGGGATTCGCCGATAGACGTCCTCTAGCCGCTCAGCCCTTTCCTGTTGTAGCGGCTTCCCTCGCCTTGAAGCGCAATTGATTGAAGTTCGTCCAAATCCAAGCCGCCTGCTCCGGTGCTGTGGTGTGGCGATGGTGCTGCCCTGTTGCTCCAGTGCTGCGGTTCGGTGATGGAGCGGCTCTGGTGCTGTGGTTCTACGGTGCTACCCTGTCTCAGTTTCTCGATCGTTGACCACCGTGGAGCTGCGGTGGATTTTGGACGAGGTGAGGCTCTGTGGGAAGGGATTGGGTGCGGCTCTGGAGGCTTACGGCTTCTTGCCTGAGTGGCTAGGGCTGCTTCTTCAGATAGGCTCCCTTTTCCGGTTCTCTGGCGCGGGGTCTAGGGTTGCTTGCCGATCGGTTTCGAGTTGCTAGTGGTGTTAGTCGGCTCGGCTCGGTGGTGGCTGGGTACCCTCTCTGGCGTGGGGTCTTGGAGTGTCTGCTGTTGGTATCGAGTTGCTAGTGGTGTTAGTCAGCTTGATACTGCGGCAGATGGGTGCTTTCTGGAGTTTTCCGACTTGGGGAGAATTGGGGGATAATCTGATGCTTAGGATTCGGCTCAGCTAGGCGGTTTGGCAGTGGAGGGGTCGGACTTCTCGGGCTAAGGGATTCCTCTGGGGTCGATTTGGTGCTTGCTGGTTTGTTTCAGATTTGGTTCTGTGGAAGGGCTTGGGTGTTTTTTATTTTTCGTTGTTTAGTTTTTTTGTAGGTTAGCTTTGAGTGTTTGTGTCATTTAGGTTCCTGTGTTTTTGGTTTGGGCCTTCTGCCCCTGTGAGCCCGAGTGTCAACTCACTATTCTGTTGGGATCAGACACTCGGGTATTATCCTGGTGGGATCTTTGTAGTTTTTCTTTGTGTTTTGTTGTGTTAGGTGTCTAGTGAGTCTTGATTTTGGTTTCTAGTGTTGCTAGAGTCGGGATTCTAGGCGGTCGTCAGACCTGTCCTCCCATTTTATTCAGTTTTTCATTGCTTTTTCTTCTCCCGTTGGGAGCTTTGTTTTTTATTCGCGCTTTTGTGCGTTTTGGTTTATAATAGATCTTCTATCGTTCCGGCCAAAAAAAAAAGTAGAAATATATATTTATCATTATTTGAAGCATAAATAAGTGATTAAGTTTAATTTTTTTTAGTCGTCATAAATATGTAATTTTTCAATGAAAAATAAAATGCTAACTACTAAATTGTGGCACTGTCAAAGTGTCAATACAAAGTAGTTTTCATTAACAAATATAGAATTTATTATCACAACTATTAAATCAGTTTTGCTATGAAGCCAAAAGGGAGCCAACTTTTTATATACAATAAGTAAATCATACCATATTCTCTCACTACTTAAATAATATTAATAATTTTATTAATATAATATAGTTTATTTGTTGTATAAAGAAGGTTGGCTCGACTATGGAGTCAACTGTTGGCTTTATAGCAAAACTGACTATTAAATTGTGACATAGTCATCATAAAATATGATTTTTCAGTGGATATAAATAAAATCTTTCACTTTATTTCTAAAATGTGACAAAATTGTCATTAGATGTGAATTTTGATGACCAAAATTAGGAGTGTCATAATTAAGGAAGGTACTTTACAGTGGTAAAATTAATTTTGTCACTGTATATGTAACGCCCCGTTTATTTGTGGATTATTTGGGATTTATTATTATTATTTTTATTGCTATTATTATTGTTATTATTAATTGGTGATAATATTTATATTTTATTTTATTGAATGCCATTATGTTTATTTATTTGTCAAATGTGATTAAATGCTAATTGTGAAATTTGTTTAATTGTTTAATTGATTTTGTGATTTATTAAATTATTAATATGAATAAATGTGTATGTAATAATATGTAATATATATATATATATATATTTAAATAATATGTAATATATATATATATATTTATTTTTTCGATTTATTTTTATCGAGCGTTTGCATTCGAAATCGAGCCCGATAATTTTGTTGGAACCAAATTGGGCCCGAATATATCTGTTTAAATTTTTATTTGAGCCCGTGAGCTGCTTTGTTATCCCAACCGGCCCAAAAATCCTATTGGCCCAAGTTTCTCGGGCCCGGCCCGACAGATTTCCTTTTTCTTTTATTTTGGACGTGATTCTTGTGTTGTCTTGAACAACAAGATTTTCTCTTTCTCTCCTAAACCTATTACATGTATAGGTATATATGTATATATATGTACATCACGTTTTTCTCTTGGCCACAAATCCCGCAGCTCGATCCTCCTTCACAGAATAGAAAAAAAAACGATCGCAATTTTTGTTCTTTTTCTTCCTCTGTGATTTTTCGATCGACATCATCTCCCTCATCACTATCGTTCTCTCATCACCATCGTCATCATCACCATCTCATCCCGCTGGTCATCGATCGTTTTTCCTTCATCCCCATCATCACGCTCGCCCTCATCTCCGGTGACACTCGCGCCGCCGCAGCCCGCCCCAATTCCGGCGACCTGCAACTTCCGGCGAGTTCGGTTTCCTGTGAGCAGCCACGACCGCCGACGAGCCCTCCTCGCAGCAACTCGCGCAGCGATCTCCGACGACCCCTTGCAGCAAGTTCCGGCGACTTTTCTTCGTCCTTCGAGCAGCCCGCGAGCCCCGACTACGTGACCACTTCCGAGCGTGATTCTTCAGCGACCTAACAGCAGCATCCCTTCTCCTTCTCAGCCGTTGCTGCACCTTCTATTCCGGCGAGACGCGAGAATCCGTCGAGCCCATTCGAACCCTTCTCGCTCGTTTTCCCGAGAACGGTATCGATACTCGACTTCTCATTTATTTTGCGTTATTAGCCTTGTGTTATTATGTCTTGCGGTTTCGCGTGAATGTGTGTGTGTTCATGTCGATTGATGTGTTTGAGTGTATTCATGTTTAATGTGATGCTATTCATATTATATTGTTATGATTTTATGTGTTCGTATGTTCGGGATCTCTTCGATTTTCTCAAAAATCGAACGAGACCTCAAAAGTCGTGTAAGTCGGTGGATAATGGAACAATGTCGAGTCCTTGGTCTTATGAAAAGGCCTCGGACGATAAATTGTGTGTTGTGATTCAATTTCCAAATAGTCGAGCTTGTTAATCGCTGTTTTGATGTTCGAATT